TGGACCTGGGATAGTCGAACGAATTCGCGGTGGTACGCTAATAGAACGAAAGGGAGGGGAAGAGGTGTACGGAGGTCAAGTCGCATCGTGGAACTTTCTCCGTGGCAAGTTTTTCGATAGCGAACGTGAATGCACGAACACGCACGCTTCGGGACCGGTTTTGGACTCAAGGTGTTGCATTATGCAACTGGCCAGGGTTTCCCAATTCGAAGGTCCGCGAAAATAGCTGCGCACTGTTAGAAACTCGATGATCAGTATTCCATAATTTTCTTAAGAAACTGAGTATTATTTTTTTTTTCTTCTTCTTCCCATTCATGGTGCCTGTTTATTAAAAAAATTAAAGCGTTTCGAGGATCTAACGTTGAATTTCTTTCAGATTTCTAAGCTGCGATCTCTTAGAAGAGATATGTACACTACCGGCCAAAAGTTTGGAATCACCTCCCACTTTTCATCAATATTAAACCTGCTGCTAATTTTTCATAGATTTAAAGTTTATCTCGATTCTACATTTATCAATTTATCTCGTACCAATTGATTCGAACGATAAAAAATTCTCGAAGTCGTTGCCTTTCTTCTGGAAATTTTTCTGTAAATTGCAATGCTCGGCGATTCCAAACTTTTGGCCGATAGTGTATGTGTGAGAAAAAAGTTTCCCTTTCTTACTGCAAAATTATAATTTGTGATTAAATAACGATAAATAATTTGTATGCTAATACAAAGAAGCAACGTATTCAGAGTAAACATCCATTCGTTCTCTGTATTTGTGAAGAAAAATTGAGTTTAGAAAATTCTAGTAACGAGTGATTAAAAACTTGGAAGGTTTTTCTTGCGTATAGTACTGATTCGTCGAAGCAGTTTAAATATTTTTCAGAGGATCGTCGGAGAATTTGTTGAAACATTGACAAATCGAACGTCCCAGTAGAAGCGAAGAGTAGAGATAAATTGTGCAGAAGTGATACATGGTAGACGTTAAAGGACTCTGACTTCATCCTTTCCATAACATGCTAATATACAATCTGCGTGCAATAATACCTGAATGCTTCCTTTGGTCTTCGAGCTAATCTCCGCTATATCTTCACTTCATATTCTCTGAATTTATGTCAGTGTACGTAGCACAGGTTTATAGCACAGCTTCACTCGGTGTGTTTGAATATATGTCCAATTTATCAAGGCAGTTTACGGTGTCCCGTGGTATGCAATATTAAATTTAGTACATCAGTTTCGCCACAGGCGCAAAAATGCTTCGTTACTGTGAAGAAATCCAACCCCTATCCCACTTCAACAAATCATCTGTTAGGGATTGGGTTTATGACATGGACGCCTGTTTACGCTACTTTTGAATGCGCCCCTTTTCTTCTTCGCGTTAATTAATTTTTCTTTCAAATTGGCCACGAAGCCCAGGAAGCGTTTCATGGCTGCAGAAAAGTAACTTTTCTGCAGGCCACATACCTTCCCGGTGTCCACTCGTCAACATTCAATAGACATAGACATGTCATAAAACCTCTCGCGTCTCCCTGACCGCCCAAAGTCCCGCTACGCGCGGGCTACCCCTTGGTCCTCACACCCCCGCCGTCGCGACATACCGCCACCCTGCCAACTTGGAAATTCCAGGGTGGGCGGCATACTCGCGGGCCAGGGAGGACCGTCCAAGGGGGTAGACCCGTTCCCATTCGCGGGGCCAGGGTGGGCGGCATGCTCGCGGGCCAGGGAGGACCGTCCAAGGGGGTAGACCCGTTCCCATCGGCGGAGACCACCACCTTCTACCCCTAAACCTTTTTATAAATAAGCGCTCCAACGCGGCGCACATCAGATCAAAAAGGGAAAATAGACAAACGCCACATAAACTACTACTCTTCAAAATAAAGTCTTTTTCATTTAACATAATAAAATACGTGCAACCTCACCACACCACGATTTCATACCAGCAAACAACCCGCACCACGAAACAGCGACAATCCTGCCACCACTCTCGAACATACCGCTTGCTCGAAACGCACGACGCAACATCATCCATTGCGAAAAAGGAAAAATTAAAGAAGAATGGAATGATATCTGGAAATCGAAACCAACAAAAATCCATAGCGTAATCACAAATTTTTCACAAGATGTCCCACGCGGTTACGTGAACAGGAAAGAAAGAATCGTTCTTTCTCGTCTGAGAACTGGTCATTGCAAGATGACACATGAATTTCTCATAAAGAAGACACACCCTCCCTTATGTTGCGAAGCCCCACTCACAGTACACCACCTTTTGTATGACTGCGAAAAATTTTCTACCCAACGCCTGAAATTTTAAATCAACTCGAATACTGCCCTTACGTCTGAGAAGTACGCAAGAAATACTATTGAATTCCTTAACGAAACCAACCTTGTTCCGTCGCGCAGGTACGGAACGCGTGGGGTCTTCGTTGACCGGGTTTATGGCACGCTCGCACTCGAAGGTTGTTTTTCAGAACAAAGACGCTTCGTAGCTCCGCGAAAAAATAAGT